TGGCGTTCCATAATCCGTAATCGAGTATACGAACTCCTTAAACGGGAATGGAACGAGGAAAAGAGTCCTCATCGAGGAGGCCCGAGGGCCTTAGAGAACGATGGAGCCGAGGACGACGTTCCACCGTTACGGGACAAGGAGGACAAAGATTGTCTGGATGAGGAGTTGCTACGCGGATACCTAGTTGAAGTGGGAGGAACGCAAAATGTGGCGTTCCTGGATCGGGCTGTGAGTTGGTCCCGTCGCTATTTTGAGGTTGAAGCTCGCGGTATAAGGGACAAATTGTGCGAAAGGGCGAAGGACATCCAGAGATAGTGGACCCGGGCGCGACGAGCATCGCAACAAAAAAGCGGGAAAAGGTGACCTTTCATTTGCCGACCGAGGAAGGAGGGGCCGCAGTTGCCGAAGAGGCACCCGATGTTTATTCGGTGAGCGCGGGGAAAGCCCCAAGGAGGCCAAGAAGGCCTGGGCTGCGCGAAGCAGACGCCGGTGATGACGAGGAGGGCGACGACGACGTCGTGCCCCAGTGCAAGCGAGTCATTGGCAGCGTCGTGGGTATGCAGGCCCTATCGGACGAATACATCGACTGCTGCCCGTCGGAGATGCTGGCAGACACGGGCGCCATAGCGAGTCTAGTCGACAGAAGGATGCTGAGGCGTCTGGGGCGTGACTCAGAGCCACTCCGGCCCTACAGCGTATCAGAAGTGATTGATCGTCCGGTGACACTCGGAACGCTGGAGAAGACGTTTCCTTTTGTAGTGACCGACCACTTATTCGTGGACGCGATCATTGGAACAGATTCGTTGAAGGCGTTCCGTGCTGTGATAGACCTCGAGGAACAGTCGACGACGCTGAAGGAAACAGGGGACGTGATCCCCTTGGGCGTGGCGAGGGTGGAAGAGACGTATGCCGCCACGATATCGTCGTCAGTACGGCTGGGACCTGGTCGCCAAGCTCTCGTGCGGTCAAGTGTTCGAGTAGCTGTGAAGGACAAGTCGGTCGTGCTAGTCGAGGGCGTTCCAGGGGCGGACAATTCGCTGAGAGTCGCTCGGACGCTGTGCACGGTGAAAAACGGAACGGTTCTGGTCGAGGTGTGCAATGCTTCTACAGAAGAGGTGGAAGTCGAGTCTGGAGCTTACCTCGCTGCTGTGACTGTCGTACCAGAGTGGGCCTTCACTACTGAAGCACCAGAGCGAGAGGGAACGCTGAAGAACATCAGTGCGGTATTAAGCGCCTCTAGTAAGAACGCCGAGACTCAGGTTGAGACGGAAGAGGATGAAGAACAGAGATGACGATGACTTTGAGGTGGACTTCCAAGACTCATCGTTAGGGGCGGAACAGAGGAGACTTTTCGTGGAAATGCTGAAGGACATGCGAGATCTGTTCGTCGAGACCTCCAAGAAGCCTGGGAGGTCAGAACTTCTGAGGTTCAGCATTGACACGGGAACGCATGTGCCGATAAAGCAGCCCCCGTACCGGGTTTCGAAGGCTGAAGGAGACGTTATGGAGTCTGAGATATAAGAATATTTAGACCTTGGGCTCATCAGGCCTTCAATGAGCCCGTGGGCGAGTCCCGTGCTTATGATAAGGAAGACCGACGGTGGTATTAGATTCTGTATCGACTACAGGAAATTGAACGCCGTGACGGTGAAGGACACCTACCCGATGCCGTTGATCGACAACATCTTGGATGTTCTGGGGAACATCAAACTCTTCTCGACCATGGATATCGCTTCTGGATATTGGAACGTTCTAATGGATCCAGACAGTGTGGAGAAGACGGCGTGCACAAGTAAGTTTGGATTGTACGAATGGCTTGTCATGCCGTTTGGCTTGTGCAATGCTGTTCCAGCTTTCGAGCGGTTGATGGAGAATGTCCTCGTTGATCTCAAGTGGAGGGTCTGTCTGGTCTACCTGGACGACTGGGTCGTCTTTAGTGACGATTTCCCTACTCATTTAGTGCGAGTACGCCAAGTTTTGGAACGATTTAAGAAGGCCGGATTCAAGCTGAAGATGAAGAAGTGTCACTGGGGACGCGATCAGGTGGCGTTGCTGGGCCACATTGTGACTCCAACTGGAACCCTGCCTAATCCTGAGAAAGCGAAGGCGGTGATGAATATCGAGAGGCCGCATGACCTGGACACAGTCAGGACGTTCCTGGGGTTGACTAGTTACTTTCGGCGTTATATACCGGGCTTCGCAGCGATTGCAGCACCGTTGGAACGCCTGAAGCAAAAAGGGGTGGAATTCTTGTGGAACGACGATTGTTCCGATAGCTCCAACGAGCACTGGTGAAACCACGTGTACCCTAATTTCAGGAAGCGGTTCAAGCTCTACGTGGATGCATCTCACTTGGCTGTAGGGGCATGTCTGATGCAGGAGATCGGCAAGCGTGACCGGGCAATCGCGTATGCTAGCAAGATGTTGGTAGGCTCTCCGCGGAACTGGATCTACAAGACGAGTGGAACAACGGAAATTGAATGTTGGGGAATCGTGTGGGCTACGCGTAAATTTAGATGCTACTTAGATCACGCCGAGTTCGGCCTGTTTACCGATGAGATCGGCCATCCGGATGGCGCCCACTACGCCGTCGTCCGGTCGGTGGTACAGCCTCGACAAGCCATCCACATGCCCCATCGACGTTCCCGGCCTGTGGTGCACCTTAAACCGTAACTGTGACAACTCCATAGACCACCGAGGCAACTTGGCGTTTGTCGTCCTCGTATTCTCACCAAAAATCCACGTGAGCGCCTGATGCTCAATGAAGAAGCGGAAGATGAAGCCGATCTCGGAACGTCGAGTTCTGGAGTGACACGAACGCTGGAAGGAACGCCCGATCCCGGTGGAACGACCGTTTGGAACGTCGGGGAGGGTGTTGTCTCTGTCGGGAAGCACCTCGAGGCCACAGTTCCTGGCGACGGAACGCCGAGGGATGGATCGCTGGAGCCGAATGAGCCTCTCACGCAAGCGCAACAGGAAGAGGATCTCCAGGGTGGGGCTCCTCTGATGCACCCGTCTCTCGTGGACGTATTCGGGCTGGATTGTGACAAGTTCGTAGAAGAACAAGGACGTGTGCCTTGGATGAGGGCATTGAAGGCGTTTATTGAAGATGGAGCGTTGGCGCTCGATCCGCAATTAAAGGTCAACGTACTGAAGATGTCACCCCACTACGTGATGAGAAACGGAATCCTGATGAGGCTCGTTCACCTGGGAGCGCGTGCTCGTCCAGCGAGGACGATCTGCGTGCCGGCGGCGCCGTTGCCATTCATCGAGACGGTCCTACACTATTGTCACGCCGACATATTTTCGGCTCACCTGGGAAAGACCAAGATCGCTGACAAGGTGAGGCGGCACGCCTGTTGGCACGGGTGGAAGAGAGACGTGGTCGAGTTTGTGCGTGAGTGTTCTATCTGCGGTGGTGGCAAGGGTCATAGGCCTTGGAGAGCGGGACTGATGCAACGGATGCCAGTTCAGGACTTGTCGGGCCGGTTCGCGCTGCTCGTAGTGGATGCTATCGGCCCCCTGGTTGTGACACCCCGAGGGAACAAGTATATCCTGGTGTTCGTGGATTACTTTACGCGGTGGGTCGAGGCGTTCGCTGTCGTGTCGCTCGACACGATTTCCTTCGTGAACATCATGATAGAGGGTGTTATCTGCCGTCATGGCGTTCCGGAACGCCTACTGAGTGATCGAGGATCAAACTTCACGTCGAATCTGGCCAGGTCGTTGTACGAAACACTGGGAATTAAGAAGTTGTATGGGGCAGCGTACCACCCGCAGACACAAGGATTCGTGGAACGCTTCAATGGAACGCTGATGGGGGTGCTACGGATGTTCGTGAACGAGACCCAGACTGACTGGGACGTGTATCTGTGACGTGTATCTGCCGAGGGTCTTGTTCGCGTACCGGACGGCGTATCATGAAGGCCTAGGTGATACTCCGTTCTTTAGCTTGTACGGGCGAGA